AGGATAAACCAAAGGACAAACTTATAGATTAATGAAAAATTAGTAACTTAGTAACCAGTAGCTATTTTTTTTATTTTAATTACGGCATATATTCTTACCTTATTATCCTAATAAAGTACATGTTTCAACGTGAATAATACAAAAGCAAACGAAGTGCTGAAAGGACTGTATTGACTATATTATTGTGCATCATCCATTTGTTGATATTCCGACAACAACATAAACATCAATTCACATTAATTTGTCGGTCAATCTGTAAACAAGAATAAGAAAACATTAAATATAACGAATTACCTACACCATTAAATAGACAAAACAATAAATGAATTGAAAATATACCTAATAAACAGCATAACACACTTGTAGCGCCATTAGAAAGATTATCTATGAGTAGATTATTCACCCATAGATAATATCCATCTTAATTCATAGATAATAATAAAGAGAATGTACGATGTAGTGGCGCTTTAACCGCTATCAGCAACATTACATACAAATACCTTCAAAATTGAACAATTCATTTATTATCAAACTGTATTGCGTATTGTAGAATTGATAATAACAAAATCACGTTTCCATTTATTGTGTTTCGTTATCTACTTACAAATTATCTATAATGTACCTTCGGATTTTGCCCCACCTATGGACTTTATTACTGTTTGTTTACAAATACAAATCTCGATGTTTAGAATGTCAAAATCAAAATGAAGATGTTGATTTTTATCAGGTACGATAATTTCTGAAAAATTAACAAATTAGGAAGAAAATAAGTACAATAAATTATTTTGTCTACAAAAGTATTCAAGCTTAGTTATTTAGTCCACAGTCACTGTAATGCAAACATACAAAGTAGTGGAGTGTTTATTTACCGTATCTGAAGTCATCAACACCTATTTCCCAGTGTAGAAAGTCAAGTACTTGTGCAAGACATTTATAACAGAATGATATTACTTTCTTGGTCTGAAATAGAACAAATCAATATAATTCATTATGATTAGCCAAACAGAAGCATTCCTGTAATTGCTTTAAAATAATTTTTGAAATCTACAATACTCATTTGATAAGCACAAGTCTTGGAAGTTAATGATACAAACTCACTTATGTTGTAAAGGAAGTTGATGAAAACATCATGTCTGATTCTTAAACAATATTCAGAAAGCAAATACATCGAGCAGATAATCGAGGCATCTACATCTTTTTAAGCAGGACCTACCTATTATAATTTCTGAACTACATTTATTTACTTATTGATAAATTCAAACTGATAGTTTAGCTGTATTTTATACGTGAATATTTACACATGCTAATTACAATACAGATTTGCAAAAGAGATAATTGACATGACACTACAGCAGATTTTAATTTTTTATCCCTAGACCAAATAACTAGTCCAGCGATTCAGTTTTACAAACTATGACTTTTTTGAAATTTATTTATAAATCCAAAAAAGGGCGCAAGGGACCTATTTTTGTTAATTAGATAAAAAAAAAAAAATTACTCCTTGAGTTATTTATTANGGTGGCGTCACCCTCTCCTAGACACGTAAACCACTCCTCGACAGGTTCGTTTCCAAGTTTGGTCTTCGCCGTTTTGCCCACGCGCAGTATTCCGTCTCGCAGCACCTTTGTGATGGGGCTGTGCCGACCAAGACGACACGTCTCGTAAGCCGTCGATAATTCTTTGAAGAAGGTGCGTACACGGGGCAGTATGGCGTCGTTATCAGGTGCTACAACGATATAAGCCACGTCGCGAGCGTAAGAGTAAGGCTCCAGAAGGAGCCGTTCCCAATGGTGGACGGCATAGGGGGATAACGATAACCAATCTTTTTCGTGACCGACTATCAAAGATGGAACTGGTTGGGGCTCGCAACGGTCGTCAGTACCTTAAATAGAAACATGGAAAGCTTGTAGTAGGAACTTAGTGATAGTTGACTGATAATTTAGACATCTAACAGTAAGTTACCTCCCCTATAATAATGAAAAATTAATTGTTTATTTAAAAGAATAAGCACAGAACTCTAAAATTTTTATCATAATCAACTAAAAAATTATTATTCCAAAAGGACTGTTTAGGATTTAATATTCAAAACGACGAACAGTAGTTATAATTTAAACTACACAAATAGGACGAAGAATTTTTGGTACAATTCAAACAGGAAGCTCAAATATTCGAGTTTTGTTGCATTTAAATTAATGGTATTGCAACTTCGCTTATAAAATGTAAGAACAAATTACTAGCACTGAATAAAATATTGAAGTTAATGATAACAAGAAAGCCTCCCTTGTTTGTTTAATTAGGAAACTTTCTTATTAACTTTCTCTATTTATTCAAAGACGAAATTTTAAAAGTTCGTTATTGTTAAAAATTAAAATTTCAATTATTAATATTTATTTAAATACAACAAATAAAACTCCACAACTTGACCGAACAATTTTGTTAAAAGTTATTTGTCGTTACAAAATAGGGCCAGTCCATTCAGACGGACCCTAAAATCTAAAAATCCTTCATCTACAATCTACTACAACATTTGCAAGCATCGGTGTTTTCCTTTTCATTTTTGTATGTATAGCAGCACAAAAAGTAACGTACACTTGCTCAATTCATTTTGTTTTTAAAACAGTGGTCCCAAAGTGTACTTTATTAATTTCCTCTTTTGTCGATTTACCATTTTATTATCATTAATAAGATTATTGTATTCAGAAGACCGATCTCTTCTCAATTATTTTGATTAATCTATTTATTTATTATTATTATTATTATTATATTACAACTGTTAATTCGGATTTGGTACTGGATTCTTTATTAAGCCCCTGTGCTCGCTACTTTTTGTTCACGAAATTAATACGTTTTTTTCTTTTGACACATCGTAATCATCATATGATTAAAAATGATTGTGTCGAAACAGTTCAGATTACACGATACGATAAAAATATGTTATTAAGTATATTTTTGATTAATTAAAATGAACAAACAGATTTAAGGAAACCAATTTTAAAAATTTATGTACGTATATCAGTAACAATTCATTTTTCCAATTTCAGTAGCTTCGAAAGTAGCGAAATTATAATAGCCCGCGTCGTTTGCTTGGCGTTATTAAAAAATTTTCCTTAGCTGAACCGTTTCGAAAAGACATGTTTCCGCGTTATTTATGTATGTATGAAAAGACGACATGTATATATAGAGATGAACGTATATTAACGTTTATTTCCCTAATTAATATTTACGTAATAATAACAGAAAACGACCCGTCAAAATGTTCACAAAAATTAGATACGTCCTTGTTTAGTCTAACAATCTTCGAAATTTTTGTTTCTGTGTCCTGTATGTGGTGTATGTGTGTGTGTGTGTGTGTTGAACTTTTTACGCGAAATTCATGAACATTTCGACCCCGGCCTACTGTTTTTTCTGAGGCAACAAGATACGTCGACATTTGGCCCCAGGTGGTTTAATAAAAAAAAAAAAATAGATAT